AAAAAAAAGAAAAAAAGAAAAGAGAAATCAGTTGTATGGTAGTAGCTATAGTTATTGTATAATGTCATCTGTCACGTTCTTCAGAGCTGTTTGATTCCCATGTCTTATCAGAACTGTCTGAGCTGGTAACCAGTCAGTTTGCTCAGATTGAACTATGATTTTTGCATCTTTATACTGTCCTTTTTTTCCAGCTTCATCACATCTTTTCCTTTAATTTGTCTAATCTTTGGTGGATAGAGTTACTCGGTGCGGTAGCAGGTGCCCGATAGAATTAGTTGAGGCCCGGACACTACCATTATTAAAAAAAAAAGGAATTAATTTGACTGTCATTAATACACTTCTGTATGAATGCACTATAATGTGCTTCATCTATGTGTAAACTTTGATGATTATTGATCTTTAGGTATCATGGATAGGCCAAGCATAAAAAATTAACATAAATGGTGTCACATCTGAAACACTGCCATTGTCTCTTTTTCAAAAACAAAAATTCAGTTGCCTCATATGTTCTTCATCTAGTCCAAGCCTAGGGAATTGAAAATAATGGACAAATCTCAGCTGATTAAGTGCTGTTGCTCTCAGCAAGTGTAGATTCTTTTCTTCCCCGCAAATTCTTATGCCTGGAACAAGTCCGCGCTTCTCAATAACTTACGCAAAGTCATGTCTGCTTAACTACCTTATTGTGTTTGGTGCAAGCACTTTCTGTAAAATCGCAATCTACTCAACTCTCTCTCTCTCTCTCTCTCTCTCTCTCTCCCACTCTCTCTCTCTCATTTTCTTTCAACGAGTTAAGGTCCAGTCTTTTCTGCTATCCATCTGCTTGTGTACTCCTCCACAACTCTGCACAAAGTGTAACCTTGAACAGTAGGCTTATGGACATCAAAAAGGCAAGGAACCTTGTATCCTCTACAGCTCATGCTTGTATATTGAACGAGGGTTTCCAGTAAATTTCATAGCTATAATCCATCCACCCTTCACATATACACACATTTTCACGCATGCATGGTATCGACAGGCCCTTCACATGCACAAAGGTTCCACCATCTTTTGAAAATGTAGAAGCATTGTAGGCTTGTTGGTTTGGGAAAAGGACATCCTTAGTCTTCTTTTTGGCTGAATAATTGATTCTCGGTTACAGAAAAACTGGAATCTTTTCAGTGTGAATGTGGCCATGGCTTGTACAGGACTCTACCAACTCTCAAGGAAACTTCAGTAAGTTGCTTTTCCATTTCCATTTTATATGAGAATAATTTGTCTTAAGAATGCACCGTCTTTGTCTGGAGCCAAAGCTCCAACATTGAAGAAGTAGGAGGTTGACCTATATTTTAAGCATAGGTACTCTTTCATGTTTAAGCTGGTCACAATTCTATTCCAGTGATGTCCTTTCCAGTTATCTAAACCACATTTTTGTCTTTTCAGGCATGATTACTCAAAGGAGGAGAAAACAGAAGCACTAAAAGAATGATGACGAAAATCAGTAACCTCTGGCCTTGCATCAAATCCAAAACATTGAAAAATCTGACTCATCACGCCCTTAAGTGTGTTTTAATTATTTCTTATCTTGCTCCTTGCTTTTTATAAGTGCCTCATGGATTTATGACAAGGTCAGGTATCAATAATAATAAGCCTTTGGTGTATTTCAGCTGTAAAAACTGCTCTATGTGATTAGTGATGACATTTATTATTATCCCGTCTTTCTGTGGGCTTGGTCTTCAATGTGATAGTGCATATTTCTCGAACAATTCAAGAAATGGCGAATAAAGGTAGTGGCATTGGTCCTTAGGTGTGTAACTAAGCTTAATGCAAAAATGTTGGAGATATTGTCATCACCGGAGAAACATCCAAACATGAGCTTTGGTGGATGAAATCAGAGTCCGGAACTAAAATGACGTCAAAATATAAGCAAAGAACCATACTACTGTGAATCCGGAACCAAAGTGTGGTTCTTTTATGTGCAAAAAAAATTGACTACCATTTTATATATAGCGCGGTTATTCACCGCGCTATACCTTAACGGCACGTTTGTCCATTAAGGTATAGCGCGGTGAATAACCGCGCTATACTTGAACTTTCCTACCCCACCAATAATTCAGCTGCACTTTACTAACCCACGAATAATTCATATGGGTATAGCGCATGCAGTATGTGCGCTACATATATAGCGCCTAATATGCATGAGTTATACATGAAATAATTGTGCCCCCGGACTGGTTTTGTTTTTTATTTAAGGAGTTTCAGAATTTGGTAAAAATCCATTTAGGATCCTTCCCATCTTCCGAAATAGAATAGGTTGGAAGAAAAATTTAAGTGGTTGAAGCATAAAATAATAGGCGATAGTGACTAAACAAACACATGGATGCGTTTAGTGTAATATTTTATTTTTATGTTGTACGTGTCATGTATTATCTTTAATTGGTAACGAATTTAAATTTATGGTAAGTGTCGCTTTTTTTTTGTTTGTGTTCTAGTGTTAAAGTAATAAATAAACCGAGAAATAAAAATACACCTGCAAATTCTGTGAAACATAAATAATGTTGCTATTATATTTTTAATGTCATGTATACAAGTAATAATACATATCAATGAGTCCCACAGCCTGCTTTAAAGCATTGGCTGGCCTGAGGCGCATCCCATCCCGCCCGGCTACGCTATCAAGATCATCCTCATCACGTCGCCTCTTTATCAGAGGATACGCTGCAACATAATCGTCAGTAAGGCTGGCAGACTCGGTAGAAGCGGCCATTGGGCCAGTAGTAACCTACAGAATAATAAGATATTTTAGTATATGAAATAGAAAATACTAACATACGTGTTAGCAAAATTTTTTTAATGGTCATATCATGGTCTCATCGGGCTCCTACATAACATCATTAGTCTCTGGCAAGTCAGTATCGCACTGAGCGGAGTCCGTGACGGGCGATGACAAAATCTTTAAAAAAATAAAAATACTTTAGATATTACTGACTAATCAATGACATAAAAACAAATTGAAATAATAGTAATACAAACAAACCTGCGCCTGAGTAGCGCCACAATGCTCTGTCGGAACGTCGAGGTGCACTGGAGTAGATGAAGTATGTGAAAGATCCTCAGCATCCCTCGGTGATGAGCCATAACTCAGTTGTCGCCCACTATGCACCTCTCGTATCGGCCGATCAGCAGGAACCGTCGATGGCTCTGGGGGATCAGGAAAATATTGATCCCACTCCTGCCGCATAATGGCCGTGCCCGCAATCAACAATGGAGCAGACGGGGTCACCTGCGAAGTCCCTGGCGACAGCTGAAGGCTGAATGACGGCATATCATGAGGAGCATCGTGTGGCTCAGGGTGTTCACCCGGCTGATCATCTCTAATATCCTCCACGAGTGCCTTAACTCCCCCTTGCTGGGGACCCCGTCTTCGCCGACCACCACGACCTCGTGGGCCAGCCCTTCCTCTCTGGCCACGCCTGCCACGTCTACCACGTTCAGGCTCCACTGGTGGCCCATGATGGTACTCCTCGGGCGGCACATAGCAACCTCGTATCCTAAGCGCCCATCCTCTCGGGCACGTCTCAATGTGTCGGCAGCAAGATCAGTAACCCGACGGCCAAAGACGTGCAAAGCTGACGCTCCATCGCCTGTATGCTGTAGCATCTGCAGTCCCAACTGGTAGAACTGATGTAAGCCAATAGCCTGCATAACATGTAAAATATTAATTACGGAAGAATAATGTAATGTTATAAGTAAGTATAACAATTAACATACCAGTGCCTCATGCCTCCCGACGTATGGAATGTACCGACCACCTGCGCGATGAGCGGGATTCTCGACGAGAAGTCGGGTAACGCTGCGATACCAACCCATGTACTTATGCTCGCCATCCATACGGTCAGGTGGAGGGTATGGCAGAATCAGGTCATATCTCTGGTCCCAAACCTCAATCTGGGCCTCTAGTCATGCCATGTATGTCTGGTCAACCCTGCAACGATCATCTTGCTGGTAATGTGTCCCGTGCCAAGTGGGAAGAATAGGTACAAGCTGCGGGCGACCAAACTGACAAAGGACTCGCTTTGTGGCATAATGCTCGACTATGTCGAGACATATCAGTGGGACGGAAGAGCTCCACATAGCTCGGCCGCGGGAGAAATATTCGGACAAACCAGCTATAAGCGCGTCGCTGTATGGCCTCCATACGAACTATTTATTAAACACAAGAATCGTGAGTAAATGCAACACATATAAAGCCACGCCAAGTAAACTTAAGTATATATGTACCTGCGCGCATTCAAGTAAATCCAACAAATCCCTGTAATATGGGAGATGATGTCGAGCCTCGACCTTGCGTGCATAGCCTCTGCTATCAACACATCGCCAAGCTAAAGGGAGAAACGGTGGAGGTGGTGCATCCGGTGCGATCGGTGGTGGAGGTAGCTGGAACTACAGGAACCGCTCTCAGGCCCAAACCTAATATAGATTGTGGACGTAAAATTTAAGGTATTTTGTTACTATGTATATTATAATCATGCAAAGAATTGACTATGTTTTCACCTGCAGCAGCAGTAAAAATCCGGCAACGTCTCTCTGGGTGCCCATGCACACCCGACACATCTGCCTATACAGGTAACCTAGAACAACTGCACCCCAGCTGTAACCAGGTAAATCATCTAGCCGCTCTAGAAATCTCAAACTGACTAGGTTTCCCGAAGTGTTCAGGAACAATACACCACCAAACATCAGCAACAGCAACAATCTCGTGTGCCGGTCGATATCCTCCGGCGGTGAATCATCCGTAATCTCCGCCAGATACTGCCGAACGGGTGTCAGCTGCAATCTACTGGCCCCGCTCAATGCAGTCGGCTCTGCTGGCTGGAAACCGGTGAGCCGCTGCATCATATACAGGTAATCCACTCCCCTATAGTCTCTAAGAGCATGCATGTAAGCTACAGGTAATCCATCGACAGGCAGCCCGAAAAGAACCTCCACGTCCTCAAGCGTGATGGTAGCCTCGCCGATGGGTAGATGAAATATGTGCGTCTCCGGTCGCCACCACTCTATCATAGCCGTGATCAACGCCCAGTCGAACTGCAACCGGCCGATCTCTATGATCCTGTAGAAACTCGTATTCTGAAGGCGTCTAACTATACGAGGATGCAGTGGGTGGTCCCTAATGAACTCCAACATGTCATCTATACTTCTGGGGCGGAATGTCTGGGACAGACACTGCCCATCCCAGATGTGTGAAGACCTATGGTTGCCCTGTAGCAACAGTACCTCTCGAGATGCAGGTACGGGATACACAGGGGAACCTCCATGACGATGTCTGTAAACTGAACAATATTAATTATAGTATTTTTCTTTTTAATTGCTTAACACCTTTAAATATATTGCAATATCTTTTATATTAATATTTAATCAATATTTTTACTATATTATTACTAAGTTTGACACATTTTCTATATTATTATTTAATATGTTAGTTTATTATTTTATATGTTTGTTTCTTACTCAGCTATTTTTTGGTATACTTAGTTTGACAAATTTTCTATATTCTTATTTTTTATGTTATTTTCTTAAAATTGTTGACTAAAATTCGAGAGGTTTTGTGTTTGAACTATCATTATTTCTTGAGATATTTTTGGGGTTAACAGATAATCAAATGATTAATTTCAATAACTACTAAGATAAATTAGTAATTATTCAATAATTAATCATATAAAAAATACTACAAACTTAATAGTAAATACTATTGAATTTATTTCTTTCGTAACGATTTGTTTGTTAACTTTCATATTTTGCTCAAATTTTCCGGCAAATGATTATTTTATGATTCCTATCTAATATTTGATAATTATCTACTGATACATTAAATCCATAATTGAGTGCTCTATCCGAGTTTGTTAAGGAGAGCACCTAGTTTTTATTCTACACAATAGAATCTTAAAAAGCACTACAATAACACTATTCTAAATGGCCATGAACAAAGTCAACTACCATTAGCTAAAATTTATTACCAGTTTTACTACGATAAATGGCACTACATAACAATTAAGGGCATAATATAACATTAAGTGACACTAAATAACAATAAAGTCACATATTAATATACGTACAACAATAAAATCACATATAGCAATAATTATTCATAAAATAACAATATATCTTTTTTACTCATTTTTTAGTACATAAATAATCTAATCCGGATAAAAAAATAATAAATTAATTAAATCACAAAACGATAACAAAAAAATATAGCCCACAGTAAATAACAACTAATAAGCATTTTATATACATGAGTATTATCAAAAAGTAAGTCGGAATACCTCGATTTAAAGTTTTTTGAAATCTTAAAATTTGATGATTTAGGGGCCGAAACGAGCAATCGACGGGATCCACTACACAACAACGACTTGAATCCGGTGTTAACTTGCTACAATACAGAGAAAATACACTTTTTGCGGGACGGGTGGGCTCCAACGGAGTTTTTTGCCTTAAAAAG